TACGGCGGGAAGCTCGGGATTCGATGAATATTGCGAGAGGTTCACTGAATCGAGATTGTTCAACATTGCGCCACCGACGGTCAGGACCAGGACAATGGTTGAGCATCTTTCAAAATTTCCACGCTATTTAGCGTTTTACTAAATCGAGCGCTGACTCTTTATCTCGTCGACTATCTGCAAAAAAGATACAGATATAAACTTCGGGGCGGAAAGACGGGCTACCATTCGCTACCGGAAATGAGCCGCTCCGCGAGCACTTCGGTGTCGATTTTGACGTCCCGAAAAAAGCTGTATGTATACCCAGATTTGACGTTTTTCTCAATGATGTTCACGGCAGCAGCCGTTTCGTTTCTTTCGCCTTCTCAAACTCCGGTCTTCGGCGGCGAGCGGCGGTGGCCAACAAAGCTGCTTTTTCGTCATGGTAAATGCACTCGTGACGATTTCTGCGATGCGTCTTCCTTGTAATTTTCCAACCGTAATAGGTCGATCGGTTCGCCTTGTATTCGACACTTTTGGCTCAACGGAGACGCGTCCGACTATCCACTGTCGTTGTTGCTGTCACTCATTGGCTCGTTCGCCTGAAACGAGTGTCAATCGTCAATTGGACCCATGAAGCCCGAACAAACGAACCCAAACTCGGTCCGAGAAAGCTCAAGATTCCGACCTCGGTATGCTATGGTCCTCTCGAGGTCGTTAGGCCGCAGTAATCTGAAAAATCACATTCATCCCGACGACCCGTAAGATCCGTGGATTATCAGCGTTTTCAGTATCTGATCACTGGAGCCATCCACTGTATGGGGAGTTCTCCGCCGCTCATTCAGAAATGACCAGGAAGCGGACCGGGCGAAGCCGTCTGAATAGAAAACCATTGTGTACTGTACTATTCGACCTGGGGGCACCGTAATTCCATTCATCCTGTGAGCCATCCAGCGCTTGATAATCGTTTCTTCAGTGATTTGCTCTTTCGATCATTCGTTCAACCGATCGTTAATCTGAACAGTCATTCTTCGTGAGTTCATGGGCGGTTTTCTATGATGATCATTGTGTCCCGTGAGAGAGCTCGATTTTGATTGAATGAACATTCGCCTCGCAGTCCAGTCGTGTATTTGAAGCCTCCGAGTCGACTGAGAAAACGTGCTATCTGAGCAGCGGATGAGTCCCATCGCAGTCGATTTGCGGGCGGCCTAATAGGCTCATTATCCGGAAGACACTTGACGCAGTCGACGGCGCGGGAATCACGCGTCTCTTTGCAAAAAATCTTCTCGCGCACCGTCGTTTCGGCATCGATAAGATATCCGACCAATTTCCTTGGACTCAACTGGGATACGAGCATAAAAAACGCGTTCTACGCCCCGATGAGGCTATTTCGGAACTATTACGATTGCAGTCGAACCTTTATGTCGATCGAATTGTCCACGATGCTCGTAAGCTCCAGGAGGAAGGAAGGGATCTATCGTAAGCGAACGCCGCTGTTGGTACCGGAAGCCGGCGGTGCGTCGATAGCATCGCTTCCTTCAGCATCGGACCTCACTCCCAAACAGTCAGAAACTTACTATTCGCTCAATAGGCGTAGAAGTATTGGTTTTTTGGGGGACGATTTGTGCTCATTAGGTGCTCGACGGCGAAGCGCCTTCTCAGCCAAGGGAGTTGTCCGTGGTTCGGTTATCTGCCCCCGACGAGCGGGCATCAGTACGTTCTCGCGAGCGTGGAGGATCGCGTTCCTTGATCGATTTCAAATCTTTCCATTTATCCATTTGTCTCGGTCCGATTCAAATTGCTCGGGGGCAACAGCTTTCCTGCTCCCTCCCATCCTTCACGGCAATCGTGGGGAACTACATGACCGAGTGATTTGGGAATATTTGCAATCCTTTGACATGCTAAACCCTCGGGGCGATTCTCAACCCAGACGGTTCGGACGCTGGATCCGACTGGATTCGTCATCTTCCCAAGTGAGAGTAAAGCATATCGGAATTTTCTCAATACCCGTGATGGTTAGCGCTCCGCAGGGCACGGATGCCTGTGACCGATGAACGGGCCCAAATCTCTCCGGGGTTTCTATTCCATCGGAATCCCGTTAACACTTGACTGGCTCATTCTAAGGACTTCCGGTACCGAAAATGAAATTCCTCTGTCCGTCAGTTTCACTTTCTGCGCGTCTATCGTCTGTTTTGCTTAGCATCAGAGATATGCAAATTGCATCCATTACAGAAGCCACTCCAACGCAATGGAGAGAATCGTTCGCATGTTTGCAGAGAGAGAGAGCAGGAGAAACACGTGGATTTTCATCGATACACTTTCGAAAGGAATAGAACAAGAAAACGGGTTGAAAAGCCCGCCAGGGTGATCGTCATAGAAGATTAGAAGATGACATCCTCAGTGATGACATATGAGTCGGGCTCATGGAATGAGTACGTTTGACCTCCCATGTATCCAATAACGCTTGAAGTTTACGGACGCCCCCAGTCTGTCTTTCTCTGGAACAATTGTGCGGCTGTCAGAGCGGCGCCGCGTAATCGAGCGTAAATCGTATAGTTTTCATTGTCCCTTGCATTCATATTTTCCCGCTGAAATAAGTCTGCGCGATTGCATAATTGGCAGCACGAGCATGTCTTTCAAGTCATCCGCGAGCCAGTGACTCTGACAAGGTCGTTTTTGAAGACTTTGGCTCAAATGAAATCTGTCTCATCATAACGAAGATAATAATTGTTGAGAGGCTCTCTGATGGACGAATGTTCAGAAACATGGGTGTTCAAAGCGCTAATAATTCCCGCACAACCAGATGGAAGAAGCGAGTAGGCGATCGAACGCGAAAGAACTTCCGTGCAGGCATAACCCATGCTCCGGACTCGTTTTCCCGCGAGAAACGCAAGCTCGCAGGGAGTGCGCTCCTTTGATCTTTCCCGGTTGAGGCGCTACATGACGCGAGGTTATGATCTTGTTCTTGAATACGTCATCGAAGACATGACCTTCACCGGAAGCGCTGAGCTAGCGGATCGGCCGGGCTTTTAGTTAGCGACCGAGTTGCCAAACAAACAAGAGTCGCTGTTCCTTTCACCTCTGGCTTCATAAGTCCACCGTCGATCAATGTTGGATAATAATCAAAGGAGTCGGAACACTTCGCTCCTGCCTATTCATTCAAGGATGCCCGACTAATTTGTACTTCGCTAGCGAACGCGTCGAACCCCTGTCGCTCAACGCGGTAAATTGACGTCGGCAGGATTCATGGCTGTTCTGATGAAATGGGTTACGACCTTTCGAAGACAGGATGCACACGCAAGCAGAAAGCCAGCGTAATTTTTGTGGACATTAAAATCGACTTGACGTTGGGGCTTCCGTCGCGAGCGTTTGCGTGTTTGAACGACCCTGTGAGCCTCGATCCAATCGGGAGTTTCCGCCGGAGCTCGACGACATCACGTGATGATAATACGATCGCCTCAGATCGGAGAAGCGCTCTCGTATAGTTCCCACTTGCGGAGCTCTCGGAGGATACTCAAGATACGCGACCGGACGTGTCACTCGCGACGATCGCCTATAATTGTCACGATTCATCGAATGTGATCATTTCCATTCAACCTCGAGGCGCACCCATATTTTTCTCGAAATCGTGTGCTCCCATCCTTGAGTTGCTAGTCACAGGCATCCAGACACTCCGAGAGGGACATGAACAGTCGTCTCTGGTCGTTTCCTGATGATGAATATTAAAATCCAATACAGGGACGAGTGGGCATCGACTGCGCGATTTGGATCTGCCCCAAGCGTTCGACTCACAGAAGACTCCCGTTTGCGAGCGAGTGCAGACGTCCCCCCTTCCAAAGATCTGCTCCGCAGACGACCGATCGAGATGCATACGACCGACAGGGGTTCTGAACAAATACGGAGACAATCACAAGTTGGCAAGCAGCGAGCAAACGACGCCCCAGCCAGGGCCGTCGGGTTTCCCGTCGGATTCATGTCGACGACGTTCGTCATGAATACGACGATGAAGATGCGACTTGGCGATGAGGGGAACACGCTGCAGGGAAAGATTCCATTTGTTTGGTTTCTAGATAGAAACACAATAGGTGAAAGTGCGGGAGAAGATATTTGAGCGTTCGCCGTGAGCCGTCATTATCCCACAGCATTCCAAGTGGGCGAAGGCTACTTCATCTACAACAGCAACGAAATCTGCTTCTGCGGCTTCTGTTATTGCGAACAACATCGCTTCTAATGACCAGAAATATCTCAGTCGGTTCTGTTCGTTTATTTCCATTAGCGTCGGTCTCATCACCTGCTGTCGCCGACAACAGGCGGCAGGCTATCGATGCAATGGAGCTTTCCCATGCCTCGATGATCAAGTCGAGCGGTTCCTGGTGGGGGAATACCATACCATACCGGAATGAGAAACTTCGTTTCCTCCATCGGGTAGCGGGACTTGCGATTCGACAATAAGATAGGAACTGCTTCAACTCTCTTAATATTTCCACCGTCGGTGGGAATATTTCTGCTACACCCCTTACAAGACAACGGATCGCCGATGTCTCAAAGTCAGTCATTTCACCGGAACACAACATTATCCAGTTTCTGTGGGACTTCTCGCCCACTTGGGCTCCGCGCACGCACGCGAGCACGATTGTGTATCTTTCTTACCAACTTTACAAGGATTCTGAAGATCGGTGACGACGACGACGACAACGATTCTGGGAACGACTCCCGCGACACGAGTGCAAGGGCTCGGAGCGAGCGACGGCGATTCCGATTCTAAACTCTAGGGGGACCTCACGTGAAGCCGATAGTTAGACCTGGGTAGTAAGCGTGCCTGTCAGTTCACTTCCAGTGATCGAAGCGAATCGGCTCGGGAGATTCATTTGATCAGTGTTTTTTGTTCTTTTTTTACAGGTTATCGCCATGACTTCTGCACACCCGTGTAGAGAGCCGGGATGAGTGTCGTCTCTGGAACGAGCGCTCACTAGGGGCCCAAGGCCCGCAACGTGTGTTCCAAGACCCGTTCGGCTGGCTCTGCGATGAGCCTGGGAGGCCTCAATGTTAAAGGCTTGTCGAGCAGTCCTCTGAAGACGACAAGCGGTCTCACAAAGAACCCATTAAACAATCTCAGTTCACCGTTGACCAGCATCAACAACCTCAATATGGTGACCACAGGTCAGTGAGAGGCGTCAGATTTTTATGAAAATTGGAATTTCTTACGGCTCGTGCCTGCATTCCGTTCGAACGCAACGAACCATCGATAATAATTCGACTTGCAAATCCGTGGTTCGAACCTCTCATTATCTCTGAGTTTTTCCCTTGCCGAGTCCTGCTTGCTACCCTCTCGACATTCTTATTTTTGACTGCTGACTCCTGAGGCGACAAGGCGAATTTTACCAATGCAGTCGCTGACCGATTTTCCGTTTGCCAGGCTCCCCATCGAACAGAGTCGGCTTGTGCCGAAAGTTCGCGCCGAACATTTTCAACAAGTCCAAATGTCAAAACTGCTTCAGACTGAGGGAGGCGCACACGGCTGACGCCCTGGAGACTAGTCGGGTGAGTTTGGTAACAAATCAACACCCACTCAACCAAAGAGAAAGCACTTGCTGACAGATCGACATACGCACACGAGGCGGCTCGCGGATCCATACAGCGATTAACGGCGGTCATTCATGGCCGATGAAAATGGAATAGATTCAGTCTGACATCTGACAGGGGTACTCGCGCTACGCTTTCCCCGTCCCTCGAATTTCCAACCCCTTTTAAGCCCTCGAATATACGGACCGTTAGCTCCGGGAAGCCGTAGGTGAGACACACCCTGTCAACGCACGGACTGGAACACTCACTCATCAGTGGAAGACTATGATTGGGGCGACAGCGCGTAGTCTCGATGCCAGTTTCCCACCGGACAGAAAGAGCTTGACTCCAGGGAGATTGACGGAAAAATCGAGGGTGAAAAAGAGTTGTGGTGATGAGTTCATTTTTGAAACGCGGAGGTCGAGGAAGCGGTAGACGGAAGAATATCTCTGCGCGCAGATGAAGTCGACGCGATCAACATCGCAGGTCAAATCCTTATAGACGTCGATAGTCGTGATGCGTTAGACGCCAAATGGTTTGCGTTTGCGCGCCTTATCATCAGCAGCCTACGTGATGCTTAATTTGGTGTGAATTCGACATTCCAAGCGTTCATGGACGGAAGGAGGGGGTGATTGATCTCGTCTGAGAGCTGGAAGCCTGTGGCGATCGGAAGAGTCGGCCTTTCTCACCTGATGCGGGCCACACGAGGCTTTGCGCGAGATTCAGGCGCGTCGATGAGACAGTACGGTTGAGCGGACCGCGCAGAAAATGACAGCCGACAATCTGGTGATGAAACTAAACTAATCGGACGGACAAATATTCAGTCAATCAGCCACTGAGGCGGTGAGAGCGGCAACCATAGCAGCAACAACAACAACAGCAGCAGCAACAAGCAGTGGACGGGGATGGCTGCATTTGGACAGGGTCGGTTCGTAGTGTGGGAAGCGAGCAGTCAGACCGTTCCAAAACGTTTGGGCTTCCGTGGGGCCGCTAGACGTCAAGGCAATCTCATCTCGTCATAGACGACGCCGGCAGAGGCGAAGGAAGACGAACTGAGCATCGATTTATACGTCGTTTTCCGTAGCAGAACCGGGGGAACGGGTTGATTTTTCTCTGTATACCAGTCGGCTGGGAAGAGCAATCTGAAGTGAAATCAACGCACGAGTTCGGAGAGTTGTCTGACTTTCTCTCCTGTTCAGATTCGTATCGAGCGGACCTAATTCGTTCATTCATCAATAAATGAATTCATTAGTAATTAATTTGAGCTGATCTCATCGATAAGCCCAAACATGATTCATATATTCATGAATCCACAAACTTTTGCTCTTCACGTATTTATCCTGCACCGGGGGATCATGCGATGTCAGAGAGATTCTCACATTGTTTCTTGTATCGATACCGGCGGAATCCATGACCGAGAAATCTGAAAGTAAAAGTAAATCCCTCGTCGTAGGGTCCGTGAGTCGCGGAAGGAGGCTCATACACAAGAAAGCTGGACGACAGAAGACGGAATTTCTAATAAGTTCCTTACAGATCACCCGTAACGTCGTCAAGTGTGGATATTTGTTCGTGGCGCCGGACTGGGACTTCTCGACTCAGGCGAATCGAACAAAGGTATTTTCCCGATGCTGATAACGCTTGCTATGTTTGCCATTCGAATTCTCGGGTCGGCTCGCGTGAACGGAAGAGAAGCACTCCGCCATTACGTCCTAGAAGTTGAATGGCGGCGGGGCGATCGTGAATTATGCATCTTTCCATTGAGACGTGCTTACCATCGCTTTCCATGCCGTCAATTCCATTCTCAATACGGGAACGGCCTTCATTATGAAGACGGAACTTGGCAGATCCAGGTCGGATCGGCAATACGCTTTCAGTCTCTCGACTCCCACTGAGTCACCTCCGATAATGAATACTTGTGAAAAGCACCCGCGATCGCGAGGGGGTCTATCACTTTCATTCGGGAAAAGCTCTCAATGTCGATCGACCGGAAAGACCCTAGGGATCACCCATCAATGATTTCCATATTTTCAGAGATGGCAGCGGCGCTGGTTTGTTTTGTTCGATGACGGCGAGCTGACTTACGCGCTTGACGAGCAGGTGAGCCTCTTTCCGAGTTTAGGCCGACGACGAGGAGCCGTCGGCCCGTTTCCTCCGATGTTGAGCCCGATCGAGAGACAGCTCGGAGAGCGGAACGAGCCGAATTCCCTCCTTGTGTGAGGAATCGATAACCTTAGGGTCCCCATCTTTTCCTGACCGTGCAATTTCCCCCGCAATCTCTAGCCGGACACGATTCCCCAAGCATCTATCGATATGCGCTCAGCTATAGAGGTGGCCTTGGCTGACGAGCTCACCGGAAACCCGTTCAGCATCGCGGTGACGACGGCTGACAAGATTCACTTTGTGAAGGCAACGAGCCGGGAAGATTCCAAATGGTAAATCATCATAGGTCTGGGGATTATGAGGATCTCGCCCTCAGAGACCTGAGCTCGCGAAGTCTAAGTTTGTATGCTGTCGAACAACGTGAGTTATTTCCCGACAGGTGGCACGAAGCTCTATGTCGAGCGTCGCCCAATTTGCGGCCCGCTTGTAAACGTAGCCAGACACTACCTGGGGCGTTGCCCTCTAGCCCTCCGAACAGCGTTCAAGATAGCAACAAGGAATCCAACAGGTAAGTTCCTTGCGGTCGGGCTGGAGCACTGATTCTGACTCATTGGCCTTGTTCCTTATTCCTCCTTTTCCACTTCGAAGAGAAACGCCTGCCCGTCAGCGATTCTTTCCGGTTGGAGCGCCGACGGGGACCGTGCGTTCCGAGAATCAGGTCGAACGGGACAGCGAGCACGAGGTGAGTGCTTTTTGGCTCTCCAAAATTTCGATGTCGATCATCGCCGTTGAATGGCGGAGATGAACCTCAAGATTCTCACCGGTCGTCGGGGGACCGTCGTAGATCACTTTGTATGCTGAGAGGCATTCAACGTACCTTGTGAAGGACTCCAGCTACATGCAGCGGCTCCCATCAGTTGGGCCGTAATTCGATGCATAAATCTTGAACCGGAGTCGCTCATATTCTCTTCATTTTTGAAACGACAGGGATCGGGGAAGGACTATCTGGCGTCCACACCGTCCATGGTTGTCTATCAAGTTGTGAACTCGCTCCTGAATCAGAAAAACAACTTGAACCTGAATAACGGTTCCCCGAATAGCGCTTCCCAAGTGACCTCAGCGAATAATTCGACCGGCGCGGGATCGACCGCCACCGCGTCGACATTGTCACAACAACAAGGTGATAAACACCCTCCCTCCATTTCTCGGATCACTATTTGCGATTTTCAGCTCTACGAGTTCGACGCTGATTCTTTGACTCTGATTCGACAGCTCTGTCTTCTGGCTCCGATATTTTCGATGGTCCTGGCGGCATAAGTTCCCTGGACGACTGTGAGGTTCTGAAGAAACGCCGTTTTTTAAAACGAGAGACTAAAGTGAGTATAGCGCTTGCTCGCCATCTACGGATCCAGACTTGGGTGAGAATGCGTCGAACTGACCGATTCCACTCACTTGAAGGCGCTCAAGTCTCAGAGGAGCCGCTCGGACGGGGTTGCGAAAATGCTCCCGAGCATGCACCTCAACGAGGAAACGACCCCTTGGAACATCGGGACTCCGGGCGGAAACTCGGGGAACGCCTCCGGTCCTCAGAGGTCCTCTCTGAGCTCGCAGCGATCCAGCATGGGCCAGCTAGTCAACCCATCATTAGGCAGCCAACAGTCAATCGGGTCCGGCTCGATTCACCTGTCGAATAATCAGCCCGGCAAGCGGACGTGTCATAGTAATCCCGTCTACCTCCTCCTATCGGATCTTGGTCGGAACGAGACAACGCAGTCAACGTCACCGTCGAAAGGTACCGGAAAGATACTCATGGAGTCTCGTCCGAGATCTCCCAACCGCAACATGAGCTCTCCGAGTCACAGCCCTTCTTCCGATCCGCGCGCACTCAAATCTAGTGCGTCAATATAGGCTCTTCGGAGGGCATGTCAAGCCGGACGAGATGCTCACGAGGTTCGAATTGTAACCCTTTACTCCGATCGCTGTAGGATCATCGAAGCTGAAACTCGGTTCCCCGCCGCATCAGAGGGGAGTTCCCGACGGCTGCACACTTGAGTCCGATCGAGATAATGAGCTGGACTTGTTGCCCTCGTCGAACATCGTTGGAGGTTCCTCAACGATATCGTCAGTATTCAACTCCCAGGCGAGTTTGTCGTCACCCGCATCTACTCCAGTCTCGACGGGATCCGAGCAACAGCAGCAACAACAACAACAACAGCTACAACAGCAGCAACAACAAACGGCCCCATTGTTTGTGAAGAAAGGTTGGCTGTATCTCCGGCAACGCTATAATGGTCAGATTGAATGGACTCGCATGTGGTTCGTTCTCCGAAACAACTCCCTCTGCTACTTCAATGACACCGTAGCTGAGGAGAAAGCTCATCCAAGTGGAGTCATCGATTTGGGTGCCTTAAGAGCCGCAACCGAAATCGAGAACACCGATCGGAACTACGCCTTTGCGGTCGTCTGGTGAGTTCTGAGCGCTGAATATCCGCGGGAGCGGCCAGCGAAAGGAGAAAGAAGGCCGTTGGAACCTTTGATTTCCTCGGGAGTATGTCAACGTTCCGTTCCGCCATCCAATAGGTCACCCTTGACGGAGAGCTCATCGAGTCGAGAGCTGATCCTGAGCGCAGCGACCGCCGCTCTCCGTTCGAATTGGCTGCAAGCGATTCGTCAAGCGTCTACGTCGCCGTCAGTGTCCAGTTCGATCAGTTTGAACTCACCTGCCCTGGGTTCAAACATAACTTCAGTGACCCTCGGTTCGAACGCCTCGATCCGTCTGGGAACACCCTTGAGCTCGACGTCATCTGCTGGCTCCGTTATGCATCCAACGCATAACGCGCAGTACAGAAGATCCAGCCCCTCAAGGAACTCCGGACTCACTCGTAGCAGTCCGACGCGAGACTTGTCGTTGCCGTTGCATGAGAAGGTTAGACGAGCACTCGTTTTTTTTTTTCACGGCGCTTGGGCTCTCCTCGGGATCAGCAATGGGGAGTGTCGGTGCTGAGGCTTAACATCGGTTACGTTGTTGCTTCAGGCGACTCCAACGAAGCGCATTCCCCCCTCGCTTGTGTCAACTCCCATCCAAGGAGGGAAAAGCCCGGAATCAGGACCAGAAGAAGGAAGCTATTTTTCAGCCACTGATTCCACGCCGACCCAGGACATGTCCCAGCATCTATCGGAAAATATCTGTCGGTGAGTTGAGGGCAAATCGCGGCGTCGACTGCGAGGTGGCTCACGTTGACTCCTTCCTCTTGACCGAGTCGGCCTGGTTGACTTTCTTTCGCAACACAGAGCGACCGGGCGAAGCGTCGCTCGGAATGATCGTCATATTCAGAATGGGATCCTCTCACGAAGGGTCGGATCGTTTTTCCTCTAGGAGTGGTCGCGACCTCGAACGACTTCCGCCTTCGCCAGCTCCTAGTCGCACAGCGCTCTCGAAGGCCAAGCATCGAGGGAGGAGCACCTCGTCGTCGCGGGGCAGATTGATTTTACAGCAGCAGCAACAACAGGATTCCACTGCTCGAATCGAAACTCCCACCGGGGAGCAGAAAGTAAGCGCTTTTTTTCTGCCTCGACTAATCGTCGAGTCTTTCGCCGCTCTCAACCTTTTCTGTGGGTGCGTCGCAGAAAAATTATGTTCCACAAAGCTTCGGCCCGAATCAACACGCCTCGCTGGATTCTCGGATTTGGCCGAGTTTGCTGGAAATGCATAATAACTCCCAGATTAGAGCGGGCTTGCTTCAAATTCACCCTCGGGACTTCGAGCGTGGAAACTTCGCGTCGCCTCGTTCCCAGAACTCTGGGTTCGAATCGCAGAGTATCCTCGTAGGTTCTAACATCGTGCGCTCTAACAGATACGTCTGCCTCCACGCGCTGAGCCCGGAGAGGACTCAAGCTGTAACGAAGATGACCTCACTGAGTCCTCAAACGTTAAACTGTCGCCAGGCAGTGGATCCCACCACCGGCGTACTAGCGTTCACCACTTGGCTCGCTTGCAGTCCCTTGAGCACAGGGTACATAAATTCCTTCATTTTACCGACTGACGTCTATTGAGATCGGCGGTATACGGTCTACGCTCCAAATGCTTGAGAGTGACCTGCGAGTACACCTGCCTTTTGATATCAAAATGAGAGTCGCTCTGTCGATTCGATCGACCATATGCACAACCTGACAGCCAGAATGCAACAGGAAAGCTGACATCAAGCCGGGGTTCGTTGGTGTCAATGATTCCGAATCCGGCGTCCGTCTCCCCGGATGTGCTCTTGTTCTCGAATCATTATGTTTTTTTCGTGTTTTTCCGCATTAGTTTTACTTTTGCCCGCTCCAAGCCAGGGCCATCCCTATTGGGATTTCCTGTGTTATTCGGAGCCTCGGTTTTGAGCTAGGAAAACACAGTCGACTTCCCGAGTTTTCCTTAGAATCAGAGACTTGTTACCACTGCTGGTTCAGACCTTGGTTCCAAACTACACGAAATTCATACGCGAGATGGCCCAGGCCTGGGTCATGAGCCGCGGATTTCCATGGCTCTAGCTAACCCTGGACCGCGAAGAAATCCTAAAAATGAAAAAGCAGGGAAATCCGGATAACTCGGGGAGTAAAGCGAATTTCCGACACCGACGCAGCCCCAGCAAGGCATCGGCTTTTCTGTTGCAGCTCATAATCTCTCCGGTCGGGCTGTAATGATATTGGAACATGATGATGATTATTATTATCGTTCTGCCGAATTTAATAATTTTATCATCTTCCAATGCGTAGCTCCGAGTAGCCCATCGAGAGCTTGAGTCGAAGCAAGCAGAAATCAACGCTCTGAGAAACGTTCTCGAGTCGTCATCCAATCAGCGGCAGCGAGCAGCCTTATCGCAGCGGACTCCTAAAGATATGATCGAGCAGCTCGATGAGAACGATGACGTCGAACGCAGATACAAGGACATAGTCTCGAAAAGCTTGCAGATACTTAAGAACATCTCCTCGAAAACGGCTCTGAAAGAGGTGAGTTTTTTGGTTGAGCTGCCTGCCGGGCAGACTCGTCGAATCGGGAGCATGGTCGCGGGAACTTTGTTTCCCGACGCAAATTCATCCTTACGGAACTCTGAATTCTCTTCAGGTCAAGGAGAAGTGCCTCGACCTGCAGTCTCACATCGTCTCGTTGGAAACTCTGATCACCGAAGTTCTCGAGAGTTCCTGCCACGGAGACGTGCCAGAGAAAACCTCTCTCCGAAGTCAAATGAACGCGGCTGTACAGACTAGCAACAATGTTCCCGACGAGCGTCTTGCGAAAGCACAGCGGGAGGTGTCCCGTCTCGCGAAAGAGCTCATGGACTCACAGAAAGCTGCGGATGAGACGGAACTCCAGCTCCTGAGAACTTCGAACGAGAAGAAGATGGCCGATGAAGAGCATCGTCAGCAGAGCGCGTTGCTCAACATGCGGATCGACGATCTTACCAACAAATTGAATGCGTCCGAGAAAAATATCCAGCTCATGAAGCACAAACTAGCGCGTGTTGAAAAACGGCGTCTGTCTCTCAAAGGAAAAGACTCGTTGAACTTCAGCAAGGTGAGTTCATCATTTTCTCTCTACAATTTCCTTCTCGATTGGAGCGGTTCAGGTGCGGGAGACCTCGAAGTGAATCGGAACAGGATTCACAGAGAAACTCGAAACGACATTCACAGGACATCGAAACGAAGCTGTGCAACCTCGAGGCTAAGATGCTCTTTTTGGAGGATCTGAACACGATGACCGATTCTCAAAGCGACATCTCCGAGGACCTCCGGACACACCCGACCGTTGTTGTTCCCGCCGTCGCAAAACAAGCAGTCAATCGTCGTCTCAGTACCGATTCTCAAAACTCGGAGTCCAGCGCAGCTCACCGTCTCTTCAACCTCGACCAGAAGGTACAGTTTCCCGGGATCGGAAGGGGGAGACGCCTTGTCAAGAAAAGGAAGGCGATTCCAATGCGATCTCTATTCTGTTCTAGGTCAAAACCGCGGTCGAAGCAGTCGGGGGAATGCCCGTGAAACCGAAAATTTATCTCCAAACTCGTACAAAGGAGCCTCACGAAGAGGATTGGACAACGTTGAGTCTCACGGCTTCGCTCAGCGATCTGACCGAGCTGAATCTTGACAGCGAATTGGGTTCCCTGTCGCCGCACGAATGTCTCGAAATGTTGTCGCAGAAGGTGAGCACCCCCCATGTTGAGACTCTAAATCGAGTAATATGCAACTTCCTGCACAATCCATCACACTTTCCGGGAGTCGCTGACCGCCGCTTTGAAAGTTTGCTATCTGATCTATTATCATATTTTCGGCTTGAGCCTTCCGGGCTGAGCTAGCGACGGGGGTGGGAGTTTCCAAGGAATCGATCCTGGTTGAAAATTATAGTGCCATTGTGTATCGTTAGGTCGATGGTTTGCTCTGTTGGTTCACCGGTTGTCTGCAAGGCCTTCAGCGAGGTTCGGAGGACGCGCCGTGGTGTCGTCTTCTGGGACAGTTACTCGAGCTCATCGATCATCTTAGTTGTGCTTGTGATCAGGTATGCTGTATACTTCGAGGTATCGCATGGCATTGTTCGAATTTGTTCGGAACGCCGGCGCCGTCGGACGAAGTTATCCGAGCGGGAACTCATAGAGGAGATACTCTCCAGGGCTCGGGTACATCCGATAAGGCATCGCTAGGTCTCGCATACAATCTCCTCCTGCTGCAAGAGACTGCTCAGGCCGTGAAAATGGTCAACGACACCGACAGGGATCTGATGAATTCGCTGCAGAGTTCAGCGTATCAGATGAAAGTTGTCCTCGAGTCATTCAATGCCAGTCTCAGTCAGAATTGGTGAGTGTTTCTCTCGCGGTCGCAGAAGCGAGGAAGAAAGAATTTCCGCTCGGAATTATAAGCTCTTGACCTCCGTTTCTCTGCGACTCGCAGTTTCACCGCGGACGCGATATTCGAAGGCTTGCAACAAAGCCTTCGAGCGAATTCCAACTTCCTAGCCGAGGATTTCTCAGTGGACCCAGCCGCCGTTCTCAGCGACGCAGTGGCCCTAGTCAGGAGTCAATTCGAGTTCGCCGCGCTGAAAGTCCAAGAGTACAAACGCGGAAAACGCCATGTCGTCAAAGACGCCCTGACGAAGATTGTCGAGAACCAGGTAATTGTCAGGCCATTCTTGCGATGAGCGCGGAATCCGGGGAAGGGAAAAATAGCTTTCTCGGGAAGTGGGGTATCACCAGACGTCCTCATGGATCCATTCCACAGGTCGAACGCGAGGAGCTCCTGGACGCCTGCACATGCGTAGCCCAACAGGAGGAATTGCTTTCGAGGATAACCGAAGCGATCGCCAGAGTGTCCACCTCCGTCGGCTTCTATCTTGATAAGAGTCTGGGACACGGATCCACTCTGCTAATCAACTTCGACAAGGTTCGATTCGGAAAATGCAATGACCGATCGAGCTTGCTTCAAACATCACTATTAAATTCCGTCTTCGATTCCCTCGACAGGTGCCGCAGCCGGCCCAGATGAAGGCCCTGATTGCGGACGCTCTCCAAGCCGAAATCGATCTTCTGAACTATGAGCTCCGGAAAGATTGCATCGAGGTAGGTCACACGCTTACCCGGCGGAAGTTTTCCGTAGCGAGTCTGGCAGGACAGGAAGAGTTGAATTGGCAGAGGCTAATCTATTCTGCGTTTTCCCCCTTTCCACCATCCTACAGGTGCTCGACAGAAGCGTGCTCGGAGGGCCCGCTTCGACCGGTAGCGGAACGCTGGACGATAACTCGGTGATAGCCGCGATGGAGAGCGGAATTCTCCCCGAAGTCAACGAGGTCGTCACACTGATCTGCGTGTTCGCTATTTTCAAGGTGGGTGAATTTCCCCAGCTGAATTGTCGCACAAGCTCGTTCGAAAAAGAGCAACGTTGGAATTCCGATCTGACCTCTGTTCCAGGGTTACCTCGCCTACCTCGAGCAGCAATCTTCGTCGTCGAACTGCATGGCCGAGACCTTCCGACGAATGTCTTCCCCGATTATCAGTCAAGATTTGCAAACATCCAGCGCCGCGTTCGAGGGAAGCAACGCAGCGAGCGGAACGCAGGCTCCGAGTGGTTCGACCATCGCAAAATCGAAAGTTCTCGAATCAGTTCACTCGAAATTCTTCGAGATGCTCCTGATGCTGAACGGGACCAGTGACGTTCCTTGCGCGGTGGAGCGGTGAGTGCTCGACAGGTGACGGTTCCAAGATTGCTTAATCGCTTCGGCGTTCCATTAATTTCGATCCCTCTCGCAGATGGTTAGCCTGTGTGGTTAACGCTTCCCATCAGCAAACGTTGCTCAGCGATCAGACGACGACATCCGGAGGCCACGGTGGCCACGGGGGATCAGGTGGAGATTGTTCCCTTATCATTCCCTCCATTACGGCCAACGTGAGCTCCGCCATAAACCGAGTGCAAGCCAAGCTGAGCCGGGAGCAAGACGCACAGAAGGACGTGCTGAACTCTCTCAAGCAAAGGTTTTTATAGATTTCAATTTTTGCTCTCGACATCCGGATTTAAGGTCCCGGAGGACTTGCGTGAATTTATGTTTTGTCTGTTTCACTTAGGCTGGAGCAGGTCGAGCGGGAGAGGGAAAAAGAGCGAAACAGCTCCAATAAGTGTTTGAACTGCGAAAACCGCGCAAAGGCGGCGGTTGACGAAGAGTCTTGCGGATCTTGCGCGTCCCTCAGGAAGCAGCTCAAGGTGAGGATCGCGATTTTCCCCTCCGGTCTGTTGTATGTATCACGCGAGGAATTGCTCCGAGATCTTTTGTATCTGAATCCCTCGATCTTATCCAGGAACGGATCGCATGCGCTGAATGCAGCAAGCTCCGTAGGCAACTGGAAGAATACGAATCGGCTTTGGCTTCCTGCCCAAATTGTGATCGCTTAGAAGTTGAACTCGAACTTGCAACAACTTCTCAGTTGGCGGCCGAATCGAATCAGAGGTAAGTTCACCATACCCATTCGGTGACAATCTGTCGCTCTCCCTGATCTTCAGGACCAATCCCTTCATTCAGAGAAAACTGTCCGGTGCTCTTATAGCACTCGAACGATGGTCTTGGGAGAGATTCCCTATTCGGCTCCCAATGCGGAACTTGTGCGCGTGTCTGAAGTTCGTTCGACTATTTCTGTTTCTGCAGCTGTAATCGATGTGAAGACCTCAAGCAAGCTTTGGAGAGCTGTCGGATTTCGTACGACTCGAGAGTTGCGGCTTTGCAAACCGAATTTGAAGGTCGACTCCAAGAGCAACTTCGAATCGGCGAGGAGGTGCATAAGTTGCCTCGATGGCAAAACGAGCTCGAGCAAGTACGCCAGCTCTGCGACAAAGGTAGGTTTCCCCTCGGTGGATCAGAGGAGCTCGGGGGAGAAAGTCAACCTCGCTCCTCATGCCCCGAGAACGAGAGTCGCCTCACTAGACGTGAGTTTCAAAACGTGGAAGCCCAAGGTCTTCGACGGACTGGATATTTCAGGAATAGTTCTCGTCGAAGATTCGCACAAGGCGGAAGTAGCTCGCATACGCGAACAGTACGAGATAGCGCTGCGGGTCGAGCGCGAAGAGAAAGAAAGACTGATAAACGAGGAAACTCAGGCGACCAAGGTGAGTGTGACGGATCACGGGACATCGGTCAGCCCGTTCCTCGTCCCGAGTTCGTGGCACTGAGACTTCATTTTTCTTGTTTGCAGGTCGCACTCGAAGCGATACGGAGGGAGCACTGCTCCCAGTTGGCTCAACTCAGGGCCCAATCGTTACAGGCGACGCAAGCGTCGACTAACACGCCACATGAGAGCACTGAGGTGTCCGACCGTCGGCTCAGCGAGATCAAAGACGATATTCAAAATATCTCGGAGAAATTCTCCAAGAAGTGCGTCGAAGCAGCAGCCGTCCAGGAACGGCTCTACGCGACACAGAAACAATTACAGAAAGCGAACACGCAGGTTTGTGCGGGACCCGAATGCGAAAAAGCCATCGGATGTTTTATATCCGAGACGCTTTTTTCAAGCATCTAGACTGAAATTCGGTTCTCTTCTAGCTGTTCGACGTGTTGGCCTCCCGAGCTCGATCGGACGTCCCGTCACACCGTATGTCACCGACGTGCCAGGATCAAGGAGCCAAGGTCGGCCTCTCGGCGGAGAACGTTCCTAAAGCCCCGCTTGTCCGATCGAAAACGACACTGGACACTTCTTGGCAAAATAATCCCTGAACTCAGGAGATCGAAGAAGATTAGAAGAAGAAGAAACCCGAGCTAGGTCCACTCTTGTCGGACGAAGCCGACGGATTTACCCTGAATAGCTGTTCTCATCGAAGAGCTCGGCGGACGACGGCGCGGCGCACGTCGTTTTTTTTCTCCGTAGCTCCGTATCCTGACCCGGCTCCCCGCCGCGGACAGCTCGAATCTAATCCGGTTCTTTATGTGCGTTTGTGTGCGCGCCCGTGAGTGTGATTGAGCGTAAGTGTGAGCGCGCAAGCTTGTTGAAGAGATATGTAGCTCCGTGGGGAAGATCGGAGCCGAGACAGTGAAAACGAAAGTTGCTACTAATCGACTAAGTCCTTGTTGGGAATCTGCTAAACACAACATAGTCATGAGACTCGATCGAATCTTTTTCCCGCGAAACCGTTGTTTCCGGTGATGCATACAAGTATTCCCTGTTATTCCTATGCCTTCGAGTTTCATAGAAGGACGCTTATTCGGTTATTATAAATGCTCCGTGGAGCGAGCTGTTTGGTGAACAAATTTTGATTGTGAAGGAGTTGTGTAACATCTTTGTGAATATTTTGAGTGATAGGCGAGAATAGAAAGCAGCACCACCATCTCTCTGGAGGAATCCGAATGATAAATAATAAAGAAAAAACAAAAATCTCAGCCTCGATTCACGATTTCTAGCTCTCTGGGATCGTTTTCAAGATTCATTTTTCCGCCAGCCCGAGTTAGCGGATTCCAAGCGAGGAATCGACACCGCGAAATGCGGGTGCGCTCGGTCGAGTTTCTTTCTTCCTGCTGATCTCGTAGGAGGCCCGCAAATCTTCCGGTCTGTCTCTATCAGGGAGGAGCTCATCGATCTCCCAGCCTAACGCGTAGACTGGAAAACTGCTAATCAGATTACAACGATTCTGGGTCAGCATAGCGGATAACGGGATGGAAAGGTTAAAAGTGGCCCTTGCTTCTGAGAACTATAAAAGGAGCCACCGATTCCAGAATAAACAAGCACGAGCCAAGTACGAACTGAGTATTAACCAGGTGAACTCGACGGTGTCTTCCTTCTGTTCCAGTACCTACGCCTATACCACAACAGTTGGCGACGAAGATGGGATTATTACTTGCCAGTTGACAATCTTCGCAACGTCTTACGAAGTTGATTATGTCCTTGTCCATGTTTGGCTAATAGACGTAGGATCGTGCCAACATACGAGTCTGGCCTGGGTGTCCTTTGTGAAGTGTGCTCAGGATTCGGTGTTGTAGTTTGCTAGGGATCACAACCCTATTTCGGAACATGATGATGTCTCCCATGATTGTTAAGTCAGAACGTCTTGAGTATTACAAATTGAAGGGGTCATTTCTCGAGATCTCTGGCCATTTTCCGGAAACGTGTTTGCTTGCTTGATGGAGCAAAGGGTCGTGTAGTGTCGCGGGCTCTTGAGGAGCCTGGTTGCTGAGTGTTAGTTCTCGATTTGCAAGCGTTGCCGAGATGTCCGATTTTGGAGCATTTCTCGCATTCATATGTTTTATACTTGCAGTCATTTGAATGATGCTTTGGCTTGTTGCAACGATAGCATATGTATGTAGGACCAACAATGATTTTATTAGTACTTGTTCTTTGTTGGGGGCGTCCCGTTGTTTTCGACGTTCGACCTTCTACTCCGTTGATGTTTCTTCTATTCGAACGCAGAGATCCCTTTTGATAGATTCGAAGTGATCCAGATCATCCATGATCTGCGAAAAACTCAAGTTTCGATCCTGCTCGAGGAGTCGAGCGGCTCTCGTGCGTGTGTCGGGGTCGTCATGACTTTGCAGGGAAAGCATCAAGATGTATTGTTTCATCTCGTCTAGGGTTAAATCACCCCATTCGGCTTCATTCAGCGGCTTCATTGATAGCGCTTTAGGTAAGCTCTTTCAAGTTGCGTCCGTCCCTTTTTATGTTCAGTGAACGCATTCTTCGCTTGAACAAAGTGATTTGCGTCGAGAATATTTTCTTCAATATTTCGATCGTTCCTTTTGGTTTCAAATCTTCGACTTTTTTTGGACGAATGAAGTTAACGAAGTGATCATCTTCGTTGGTGTTCAGCTTGAATACTACCAGACGTATTCTGTCTATCTCCGGAAGCACGGCTCCTTTAGTTTCGAGGATCGAACTGTATCGCACAACCATTTCTCGAATGTGTGTCCAGTATCTTCATTGTTCGAAAATTTCGGGATCCTGGTGTTCAGATGTTCCATCACCGAATGCGCTGAGGTGGATGTTGATTTCGCCGCTTTGAGGGCTCGGGCTACCGCTTGCCCGATAAGCTCCTGCACTTGTTCTGGTGAGAAACTCATCTTGAAGTGAGTTCGGAGGTTTCTTCGTCGCCAACTGTTGTGGTATACGCGTTCTGCCTCTGCCAAGTGAGCAACGTTCTTTTTCCATCAAAGGGAAGAGAGACCCAGTAGGTCCAAAAACACCCATCAAAACACACTATGATACACTCCAAACACCTAAACGGACACCACAATTTATTCCAAAAATTGAAACACTGATGAAGAAACTTAGAACAGTGGAGAAGAAACATAGTGTGAATGTTACTCAACAAGATAAAGATGAACTCATGATGAGTATTCAGGAGTTAGAGAAAGAAATCGCTAACAGCGACGATGTTGAATTAAAAGACTTGGTAGATAAAACCAACGCCCTCGTTACGATCATGGGACATAACACCAGGACAGAGGAACTGAGATATAGGATCTCTCAAGAAGACACTGATCCCGAAGAGATGTCAATCCTAATGCAATCTCTCTCCCTCGCTGAAGAAAACCTGCCGCAAAAAATGACATAACTGAGATACTGGAGCAATGTGAGGTAGTGAATACCCAATCTCTAGTAGCCGAGCTAGCCGAAGCAGCCGTGAATGTTAACATCAACCAAACGTTCTCACAAGAGTCTCTAGACTTACAAGACAAGTCCCAAGAAGTTCAACGCGGACTCATTCAGCACGATCTTCAAAAGAAGAAAGGTGAACTTCGAAAGAACTTATTCGAAGCATCATCATCTGAAGAAGATCCAGCCAGCGGAATTCAGCCCATCCCAGGAGATCGTGATCCAGACAATCCTACCCCAGAGGATGCAGGAAACAAGAGCGACGACAACAAAGAGGAACCGACAACACCGGACGAAAACGTTCTCGAGACGTCGATCTTCCAGCACCAGCAAATGGTCTCCTTCAGAGTAGATAAAATGGACTACGAAGAAGGAAACACCGAGACCAAACGAACCAAAAGAATTCGGAAACACCCTTCCTTCTTCGATGTCACGCATACTAGTGCCCCGCGATACGAGTCCTTAAAGTTCGACCAAACGAATTGTTCTCTAAAGAAAGGGAGATGTCGCGGTCGGCTTCCCAGCCTAACGCGTAGACTGGAAAACTGCTAATCAGATTACAACGATTCTGGGTCAGCATGGCGGATAACGAGATGGAAAGGTTGAAAGTGGCCCTTGCTCTAGAGAACTATGAAAGGAGCCACCGATTCCAGAATAAACAAGCACGAGCCAAGTACGAACTGAGTATTAACCAGGTCAACTCGACGGTGTCTTCCTTCTGTTCCAATACCTACGCCTATACCACAACAGATGGCTATGCTCAGCATCCGACAAAAGGCAAATTTCCTTCCCAGGACGGGACTCTTGGCAGTCTGAGGTCCTATGCTGCTCATGGTCTCTGACTCAAACGCGATCGAGAGGAACCGATTCGGAAAGCTGCGATAGGAACAGGTTCCGTTCACAGCGCTGAACGCTGGCGTTTTTTTCGGACGACACTTAGACTACTCCATTCGACTTTTTTCCACCGACCGGACAACTGCAGACGAGGTAGAAGTGGAGCTCCCAGTGCGATCGACTCGTCCCAATGCTGCATTGAGGTCATCGTCAAGCTGGCCGAATGATGAGGAGGACGCCTGTGATGTTTGATGATTAGCCCTCTGTGCAAGATGTTGCCTCGCTGTCCTTGGCTGGACATCAATACCCTTGACGTGTCTGAGACTGAGACCGATCTTCGTACAAAATGCCGAAAACGTGCCAAGGACGAGCACTGATCCAAACCATGCTCGTGTCAAGGACAGCAGAGACGATGATAACAACAGCAACCTGGAAGACAAGAGCACGATTAGACAGATTTATTGACCGATCCTCGGCGGGAGTCTGTCCTCCGCTTGGCTCCGCTGATTTCCAGCCGGAATCGGTGAGAAATCTACCATGAAACTCACCAGATCCCGAAAGCGTCGCAGCCTCTTGCGAGAGAGCGCGGAAGTCGCAGGCGCGTAATTCGTCAGAACGAATCGGAGCATTGCACAGAGTTACACGCACATGTTTCTGAGAATAGGCGACGGGGACTCCTGCGCAAGATGCGGTGTAACAGCGAGCTTTTTACCTCGCGCCAGGGGAGAGCCATATTACATGCATTCCTCGATCCCCTCAATGCTTGTCAGTGATAGCACACGTCGGAGAGTAGTTTGTCCGTACTCTCTATTCTGCCTGCGTGTCCACCGCGAAACACCATGTATCTAAGGCCTCCTCGCAAAAAGTCCGTATCGATTGCGCATGTGTCGCTGGCCCCTTCGACGGTCTCCCTTTTGCGAATGCCATCCGAACCAGCGACCGGAAGAGACTGCACGAGAAGGAAAAAGATCATTCGATGGCGTTGAGAAATATCCCCTCAGCCTCTAGATCCCAAGACCCTGGAAGATCAGGGTTGCATCTTGTATCTCAACAACGGGCTCAAAGCGGAGAATCATAACTCATAATAGCATTGGACAGCCGACAGATCAACTGAGATTTGGCTCGGGAACTCCTTCCGCGACTCTGATCTGCCTCGCTGAATGGACTCGCGATTCCTCAGGGTCGAACGGCGTCGTTGACGATACAGCGAAATCAAGTCATTCCGGCGCGACATTATTTTCAGTGCGGATTATGAGGTCTCTAATCCTATCAGGAAGTTCACTTCACGAAGGGCGAGAAC